CACAGCCCTAACACACACACACACACACACACACACACACTGCATTAGAATAATAATTCTACCATGAATACCAGGGTTATCATGGGGGTATCTGCAGCTCAGTGTCCTATATATATATTATAAAAGGCTAAGTCTGTCCATCTGTCTGTCTCTAATGCTTTAGTTGCACTCTGATTGGCTGACAAAAACAGCCACTCAGAGTGCTCCAAGCGTGGGGCAGTGCTGCCATGATTCTGAAGCCGTGCCAAGGACCAGACAGAGGGTGGAGAAGTCAAGGCCAGCTCCCCCACCCTGCTCCCTGCAAGAGGCAGAACAGCGGCAACATGGGGCATTAGGTGGTGACCTCCTTCATCCCATCCCAGCCCCCTTCATCCCATCATTCTTGACTGGCAATGGGCTAGTATAGACATATATGTGTATCCATGGAATCTGCAGAAGCAAACTCCACAATTATTTTGCATAACAATGTAGAGGCCATCATGAAATACTTAATATTTGTCCACAATTATTATTGTGTGCATGTATGTATATATATAGACACTGAGTTGCAGATAACCCTGTAATAACAATGGTATTAATGCCTAAAAATGATTAGGTATGTGAAACTGAAGGGTACATAGTGGAAGGAAAAATAAGAATCCACAACAATCTCTCTCAGAAAACACAGACCCCTCATAGCTTTCCCAACTAAAGTGTCATGACATCTTGGATGAGCAATACAACACCCCAGAGAGAACGCCAAGGAGACTAAAAATCTCTCCGTAGCTGGGCATAAGAGACGTTAGGATCATTCAACTAAAAAATGACAATTGGCAGAGGGACGACATCTCCTCCACTGTAATCGCTGACAATTGCATGGAGGAAAAAAGCCTTCAGCTGGAAGTCCTAAAAGGAGAAGAAACAGCAATTCTCTCTAGGTTTACTTTCTGCTGAAGAAGCTTCTTACATCACAGCCAGAGTAGGAATTTGCAAATAGTTTCTGCCCATGGTCATCCTGCAGTGCTGGCTCACATATCACCCTTTTCTCTCTCACATCTTCCACTAAAATTAGAAGCATCAGAGCCTGGGAAAAATGTCCCTAGCAGGGAAACAAGTAGTGGGCTTGAGAGCGATGGCAGACCTTTGTGTCTCATTTCTGGGATTAGCTCCTGCAGCGCAGAAGCAGGGGGT